TCATAGGTTTGTTTTCCAGAATTTGTAAAGAAAATGACTGCTTTGTACAATTTTGTATACCAGCACTACTTAATTCAATTACCAATTCACTGATTTCATTACACCATCCCAATATCACTTTAAATGATGCCACTTCTATGTCTTCCTTTTTAGTAAGTTGAATGTCATTCTTTTTTGACAATATGCATGGAGCCGAACCTCCTGGGTAATTTTCTGTAGAAGTTGCGTTCTTTCGTCAACTTTGTATCCAATCTTCAGCCATAATTTCCATGTTTTGTAGCATTCTAAAATACTCTTTAGGATTGAAAGCTAATCCTTCTTTTCGTCATGTTTGAGTGGTTTTGTTCTTTGTTTACAATTCATAGATCACTTAGATTTTATTAACTATTTTTCTTCAGTTATGCTAATTAATATTGCATTTTTCATGTACTATAAACTGAATTAGATTTTATGAAACTCTTTGGGCATGATGTAGCTTATTTAAAAAATACTGTTGGATTTACATTGTTTGAGATTTCAAATGTATGCATTTATTTCAATAACAGCGTCTTACAATTTCATTTTGCTGAAATATCTAGCAGTATTTGATCCATCAACTTGAGATGTTCCCATAGAAGAAACAGAATTTTTACATTTTTCCTGTTCTCTATAGGAGTTGAGAAAATATCTGAAAATTGTTTATCACCATTCAAGTATTGGGAATTATTTTAATAACTGTGAGGATATTTGGATTTTTCAAATATTGCTCAACATATTTCATAATATTTCTATCTGAGAATATCTGAATTTCTTCTATATTTTCAATGTATCAGAATTAAATGATTAATAAGCTCTAATATTAGTTTTTTATATCTAAATAGACCTCTTCACCTCTCTTTGTGTATACACACACACACACAGGGTAATCTTATTGTTCGCACTGTTCCATCTTGCTGAGGTTCATAAATGTTTCTTGTTTATGATCACCAACTTTAAATTCTTCCAATTTTTACTTACTTCAATTTCCTTATAATGTCCACATTTTACCTTCAAGGTCTTGTGCTGAATTTGCAGTCATTGACCTACCTTGGTATGCATACTTATTTATTTTTAAAGGCAGAGTTACCAAGGGAGGTAGAGACAGAGTGAGGCCTTCCATCTGCTGGTTCACTCCCCAGATGGCTGCAGCAACCTGTGCTGATCTGAAGACAGGAGATTCTTCGGAGTCTCTCATGTGTGTGCAGAGGCCCAAGGACTTGGACCATCTTCTACTGCTATCCCAGGCCACAGCAGAGAGCTGGATCAGAAGAGGAGCAGCTGCGACTAGAACTGGCACCCATATGGGATGCTGGTGCTTCAAGCCAGGGCTTAAGCCCACTGCGCCACAGTGCCAGGTCCACTATGCATACTTTTTACCGTGTATGTCAGGTTGAGTTCTTTTGATATGAATTTTATAAATGTGTATACATATGTAAGCATAAGAATGTTCTTGAAGATTTATATTTTGAGCAGCAATGACTTTTGTCAAAGGCTAAGATTAGCCCCATTTGTGATATTTGATGAGTATCATCCTCAGGATGATATACTGCATGATTTCTAAGATAGTTTTTCACATAACACACAGTTTGTGTAGAGTTGCACTTTCTCACTCCAAGCATGCTACACTTGAATTTGGTGAAAGGAGTTTTACCTGTATAAGCACAAGGAACCCAGACATGAGTTTTCCTATACTGAATTAGCACATACACCACACTACTCCCATGGACTGTACTCTGTTTCCAAAAACTTTCATTATCAACAATAAGTTTCAAAAAATTAGAATTATACTAAATATATGGTAAAAATAACTACTCATACAACACAAGCAAAAACTGGAAAATTTTTATGATGCATGTGATGGCATAGTTCTGATTCATGAAATAAATTTTAGAAATGCCACACTGTTTTATGGGGTGAATATTACCCAATCTTGGTTTCTATACATTTTTTACCATATGTATATCAGCCTGAACTCAAACATGGTCAGCATTCCAGAGACATTCAGTCTTTTATATGCTTTCAAAAATAATATAGGGAGTGTATTGTGGAAAGTTTTATCCTTTTGTGGATTATTATTGATTATAAGGATTAATTTCTACCTGAAGGGGGGGAAGACTGTTCTCAGCAGTCATATTCCACATACTTTCTTTCCATGGATAAGTTGATAATTTAAGAAACAGGTGGTAACTTCTCCAAGAGGCAGGCACTGACTTACCTGTCTGATTGGAAATCTCGTTCTCAGGACAAGGTGTGCAATCAAAACAACAGGCAGGCTTTCCCTCCAGAGGGGTTTTCCTGAATCCAGGGCTGCAACTCACACTGCATACTGAGCGTGGAGTCTGAGAAAAATCAGATGAGTGTTGGTCATAGTTCAGACTATTACTTAAGTTCCAAGTAGAGGGTTTTCAAGTCCTGCAAACCTATTCACTGAAACTGTAAACATCTGTTTCTGACAAAATGACAACATTCAATTTGATTTTCTTAAATAGATTCAAAAGATGTGGTGGAAAATGTGTGTGTACTGTCCATCCTCAGACACTAAAAACATAAGAAAGTATTTGGGTTGGAAGTGGAGTGGTTTAATGTCCCTAAGTGTCTTTTGAATAAGCCATACTGCACATACTCCCTTAGCAGTTGGGGGGTAACAATGTGTCGTGTGAACCTTATGATCAGTCCAACTTACCTCTGTAATTCCTGTGGCCCACTCTATCAAATTCTCAGAGAGAGACAACTGTTCACTCTGTGAAACATATGGGGAAAACCACCCTACTTTAACCTTACGTCCAAAACCATATGGAAAATTCCAAAAGTTGAGAATGTCGTATTCAGCTTCCAAATTTATCCTGTGATTCAAATTCACTAGGTCACCAGCTGGATTGGTAAACTGGAGATTCTTCAGAAACGGGTGCAACTGAAAAAATGCATCATATTCTCATGAAGACTGCCCAAGCAATAACACATGAAACCCAGGTTAGAGAAAACCTCTCTTTGTCTGTAATCACAAATAAACAATAGAACCTGTTTAGAACCACCCAATGAATTGAAGTAAAAAAAAAAAAAAAACCTGATGAGAACTACATCAAGGTAAGTATGATTTCACTCATTTTTCTACAAAAACAAGTGGAATCAAAAATATCTAGCTGTGAGATTCAGACCATTTCCAACAGTGCAGTCCAAGCTACCAACACTCATTTTCTCAGTGTACCTAGGACAACTATCTGTAATAAAGTTACTAGAATAAAGAACTGTGCAAATTATATGAGATCCCTTATGTTCATTGTAGATGAACATCCTCAGTAACATTTGGACCTGAAAATAATTACTGTACTGCTGAAGTTGAAAATGGAATAACACAGTCTAGGTATTTCACATGTCAAAATTAAATTGACAGAATTGGAGAGTATTTTTAAGTCACAGCACTGATGCTTATCCAAGAGACCTGCCCACTTTTCATTGGAGCCCTTTTGCTAATGACAAATTACAGGCAGAGGCTCATTTTTATCTTGTGTTTTGCAGAAACGTTCCCAAGCTGCTTGGATTGAACACCTGCAGAAACTCTTAAGGGGATCACTTCAGGAGTACATGTCAATAATGGAAACCAAGTTACCTGCCAGGGAGAAAATGCCACCTTTGCCCCATTGTTCACTGGCTGCATTTCTACCTCTTGTAGAAGCATCTCATGTATGCTGTGGGCCACAGCATACACAGCATTGTATATGTTGTAACTCCCATCACTCATGCTCATATCAAAATGATGCGGAGGCAAGGATTCCAAGGAGGCATTCAGTGGACAGTTCTGCAAAGTTTTACAGGATGTCCCAGTAACTGAGCAATTAAAAGCCAGCGACCAGAATCTGGAGAGGTAAGAGTCTTCTGGGTACTTGGAAGGGTTAGCTGCTCTGAAGAAAGTTTTTGAAACCAGAGATCTCACTATGGCTGGTCGTGAAAAAATGAGAGTCCCATGGAATGAGTTGAGCAGGAAAGGTTTCTCAGAACTGGCAAAATCCCATTGTGAGGTGGTGACCCAGACTTTCCATGTCATTAACTGCCCCCATGAATTGAAAGCTGGCGCCTATGAGTGACTCAGTGACACAGAAAAGAATCACCACATTTGCTGATGATTTTAGTATCTGATATTAGCACTACTTTGGTATGAAGAATTGTGACTCTACATGTGGCTGGGATCAATTCCACAAAGTCTACACAGATGCCATTCTTCTGTAACTCTACTTTCAAATCAGACATAAACTGAATACCTTTGGGAGGTCTGAGATGGCCAAACCCACCCAGGTCCACCCAAAATGGAGCATCAAGGAGGCCATGCCATGGGCCAGAGAAGTGTCTTTGGGTGCCAATCTGATAGAGGGAAGGAAACTGACCACTGTCACTCAGAAGAGGTTCAAAAGGTCCAAGGTCAGCTAAGGGAAAAGGCAAGAAATCTGTGTAAGGTTATTGTCATAGTGTAAAACATTATTCCTGAAAAAATTAAGCAGATAACAGAAGTGTCAGATTTCAGAATATTTCATTTTTATCATTTCCCACTACATGAGATCTTCCTAGTTCATGAATCATTAGACTCACAGGTTGCAAAAACATTTCTCCTTTTTACTCACCCACACTTCTGCTTCAGAAGAAATGTGGCTAATCCACAAAATCTCTGCACGACTTCTCTTTAGATCACATACTGTGTCAACTGTATAAGGTCTCTGTCATTTAATTTTTGGATCTAAGTAAGGCACCTAAGATGATGTACTTTATCCCACTTTTTCACTACACACTCACCTGTGGAATTTTGTAGAGTTCCAGCAGTGTCCCCATTTGGACAGCAATGCTGCTTTCTGATATTACAGCAACAGACTTGCTCTGTTTCCTACATGTGTAATTAGGAACGTGCTTTTCCAGTCCCAGCAAGCCAAATGAAGGGGTTCTCCATCACAGTCATATGACTGTGCATGACATTATAGAACCAAATCCCAAGGTCATGTTGGGTAAAAGATAGGGGTTTTTGTTGATCTCTTCAATAGCGAAAACCAAGGCCAGAACATACTGGTAGTTTTTGGACTGAAACCTGCATGAAAGGCACAAGGATCTTTAAGGGAAAATCCTCCAATCCAGATTATCATCAATTCTGTGATTACTGTGAGAGATGGAATGGTCATGGCCAAACATTCATATGTTCTAATCCATATGTGTAGATTTGCTGAGTACAGAGTGTGAACTGTTGTATTTGCAGGACAGTTGTCCTCACCAGAACCAAAGCTGCTACCAACTTTTACTGGTTTCCAAGCCTAAATGATTCTGAAAAATTAGATCTGCTTTTACATCATAATGTCTTGGGCATGTTATCCCATGGTTGTCCATGTAGCCAAAGAGCATGATCTTATTTTTGGATGCAAACCTCATCAATTTTAATCATCTCTGGCAACAGCTACCTCTTCTAAGTGTTTGTATTTGATATCTAAAGTAAATGCTACAACAGGCTCTGGAATGCCCTCTCTAAAGTTCATGCACACCTAGGAGTACACTCCAGTTGTCAAAGAAAGCATGACAAGGAAACGCATATCATCTTTAGCACTGCCTCTAAATGTTTCCTACATCCACAAACTACAATGATTCTTCATCTTACCACATCATTAAGTGCTTCTTGAAATAGCAGTCATACGATCATAAGGCTGCAGGTTGTAAAGGGAAAAGAGAGTAACTCAATTGAAGGCTATGTGTTCAAAAAGAGGGATGATGTCACAGTACTGAGAATGGTAGATGGGAGTCTGTAATTGATCCTGAAAAATCTCTTCCCCATCATACTTACCCATCAACCAGCATCACAAGCCAAGAAAATAAAATCGAATTCAGAGATTGAAAGAAGGGAAATAGTGAAAAGGGAGGAGCACTTTAGAGAAGCTGGAAACACTCCCTAGGTGAACATGAATCACTGGGCTATGAGGCACCTGATGCTTTACAATTAAGCCAGTCATGCATTTAGAACACTAAACATATGTGAAAGTAAATCATTATGAGTGATATCAGTATTTACTCCAAACCGGCCTTCTTCACTCACGTTTTCCTACAATATTGAATATAAATAGCCTTACATGTGAAGGAAATGATGCATTTCTACTTTTCATTATGAGTGATATCAGTATTTACTCCAAACAGGCCTTCTTCACTCAACTTTTCCTACAATATTGAATATAAATAGCCTTCCATGCAAAGAAAATGATGCATTTCTACTTTCTAGGATCTGACATTTCACAAAAAATGTAAATGAGGAGCCCCTTGTATTTATTTCTGATGTCCTGTGTGTTAATTCCTTATGAATAGACTAGGTCATGCACACTGCTTGTTAAGGGTCACTGTGTGCTCCAGAGGAAGTGACAGTTTTTCAGTTCTTGGTCCTTGCTGTAACATAATATGGATATATGTATGCATATTATATATGTATTCTCTCTATATATCTATACATAGGTATACTATAACCATGCACACAGTAGCTATATATATAGTTTTTTATGTATATATAATTTGCATACATATTTGCTATCCAAATATGTCATTCATACTTTGTAGAATGAGGAAATTTGAAAATCATTGCTATGAATCAAATAAAATTCAGTTTTGTATTTCATATATCTGTTTCTCTCCTCATTACTATGACACTTCCATTATTCCGCATCCTCTAAATTCTTTCTCCAGCTGCTGCCTTGTACCAAAATGTCTAGACGGCTCTTGGACACACTGGAATTTGTAAGAGTTTATCTCTTTTATGCTGTGTTCTTTATCTCTAAAAACAGTTTATCAGTAACTGTTGTATATTTTAAAGTTAGTGAATCTAACATTGGAGGGTATAGCACCTAAATCTATTGACAGTTCAGTATTTCTTGTTTTTCCAAGTATCATCAACAAAGATATTTTCCCTGAGTTTATTAAGATTTGATTATGATCTCCAGTTTGCATGGCATACATCTTGGAGGACTTGGGCTATATTCATAGCCTCTTTTCCTACTACTGGAAATTCACTATTTCCTCGTCTCCATCATTAAGGGTACACTTAAATGATGTGCTGCATGCATAACCAGGGGGAATACTACTACTAATGAATAAATATTTCATGAATTGGACCCCATGTACACATATCAAATTAGGTGAATTTATAAAAATCAATGTGAAGTGAGTAATATTGCTACACCAAGCTAGTATACATTAGATTTTTTTCAGCAAAGATATTTGGACAAATGCCTAAAATACTTAATCAGTTGCATCACCTTGGTGGCAACAACTATACTTCTCAAATCCATTGGCTTTAATGATACTGAAATGATCTATGTCCTAATACCTACCTTCTACCAAAGTTCTATGCAGCTGCAACCTACTTCCTGTAGCCTTACAGTAGAAAACAATTAGAAAATTGTCACCCTCATAAACAGGTTTGAAGAAAACAATTCCGCTGTCCTACAGATACTATATTCTGCATGCATGAAATTTATATATGCTATATATGTATATGAAATATTTATATTTAGTTACAAATAAAGGATCTTCAAGAGGGGCAAAAACAGAATAATCCCCCTTAAGAAATCTATTTTGCCGAGAAAAGGCAGAATCAGGGAAACACTGTAAATGTAGTAGATTACAACCATTGAAATTCTTATAAGTATATTCATCAGTAAAATATAATTATTATATTTGTGCAAAGGTGTTGCCCTGAGATTACTTTTACATAGAAAAAAATTTTGAATCTTTTCTCCTTTACAACTGTAGAAGAAATGAAGTGTTCTCATGGCCCCAAATCTAGTACGTAGCAGAAAAGAGTGTGAGCACATGTGAAAGAGCTCATGTAATTCAGTTCATTCATTTCAGCGCATGGGTTCTGTAAGAATCTACTACTGAGGCACAATAGGCCCCGGAGCTGATGAAAGTGGACAGGGAAGGATAGGAGGATACCGACCAGATTCTGGTTCCCCCTCTGATGAGACAACATTTCCCTGAGCCATCCACGGTGCCAGGCAGAAAGAAATGCCTTCCTCATGCCCCAAATCAATTACCAGCAGTTTTTAGGAGGGACAGAAGATGGACAAGGCAGGGATACAGAACATATTTGCCTATCCATTTGCAGACCCAATAAAAAGTAGCTAATATGTAAATAAATGGAAAATGGTTATGGCAAGGAGAACTTACCATCTGAATCTGCGATATTTGCTGAAACTTCTCTCAATTCTGGGAACATCATATGTGTAAATGTGCAAAAAAGCAGCAACCTCAATATCTCCATCCTTGTAAAAACTCTGTTCCATCTGGGAATAGCAGTCGCGACCATCCTGACATGTCACAAGGAGATACAGCTGCAGAAAGAGCACGAGAAAAATCAAAGAAAACATCTGTGAAAAACCCTATGAGACAAGAGCACTGGAACATGCAGGGTCATGCAGGTGGAAACATAGTGTGTGTGTGTGTGTGTGTGTGTGTGTGTGTGATTGCTTGAAACAAGTCACTTTAATACTGCTCCATCTGACCTCTTTCCACCAGCTGTCCACTCATCCATGGGGGAATCTGATACTTTTCTGCCCTGAGGCTCTGTAGTTCAGGTCTTCTGTCCTGGTGAAAAACACAAGTAGAAAAACATGTTTGTGAATCATCCTCTTCACCCAGGTGCCAGGATTTCCTCCAAGTCCATGGATACAAAGACTCAAGGGAGAGACTCCTGCTAGTTACATTTGGTCCAAGGGCTTTGTCAATAAACCACTCCATGAACTTTTGGCAATTATGTACCAGGATTGCATCAGAGGGCATGGAGGGAGGCATCAGGTGAGGCTTTCAGTAAGCTTTCAGACCAGAAATCTCCAGTGTCACACACTACAATGACTCAAAGTGCAACAGGGCAGCCTCCCTCAAGCAGTGTTCTGGGAAGCCACAAATCACTTTGATAGCACATAGACTCCAAACCAATCCTGTTTACAGAGATTCCCACTAGGACATGTGGTTTTCAATCACTGTGAAACCAGTAATCAGCCTGAATTCAGATATGTCCATTCTGCATTTCTAATCACTTCATCTTTAGTTGTAAAACATAAAAAACTTCCACGTTGCTGTTAACCATGGTAATCCCATGATGATCTGCTTTTGCACCTACAACCTTGGTTGGTGCTCACATGAGAACCTGGGACTATTTGAGTACTTATACCTTTTTTACTCTAAGCAGACAATACCAGCTGGAAGTCACCTCTTTATTCCCACCACCACAAACACCAAGGGCAGAATCATGCATGCAGACACCTGTACTTCTTGAATGCAAGTGACTTTCAGGATGCTTATGTAGGACACCATCAGGGCAGCTAGGTACCATTAAACCTTTGCCAAACCACAGACTGTACAAGACGAGAGTGAACAAAATGGATATCATGTCCTATAGGCAATAATGAGTGAAAGGAGCCAAGAGCCACCATAAAAAAATGGGGCTCCTGAGACAAACCGTTCCAGAGACGGCCTTGGGAAATGGGGAGTAAACCAGTTCACAGAGAAAGCAGTCAGCTACTAACCAGAGATACACAGAACACCTGCCTTGTAGATAAGCCCCTTCCCTACGCTTGCTCAAGGTTAACTAAGAAAGCTGCAGGGCACGTAGCCACCCCTTTCTGCTCTTCAATGACCCCCTCCCCTTATCCAAGCTTCCGTTTCTCCTCCTCCTCGACGACCTCCTCCCCTTGTAGTTGCCCAATAAACTTACGCCACCCTATGGTATGTTAATTTTGTGGTTTTGCCCTTTAAAAACTGTGTGAGATAGCTGCTCGGGGCTCCTCTCACTTGCTTGCTGCTTGCAGCAGTAGAGGGCCCATTTGTACAAATGAAATAAAATTACCTCCTGTTCTATTGCATCGTCTGGTCCGGAGTCTGTGTTTCTGGGGTCGTCACAAGAGGACACCGCTTTTGGGGTCCTACATTTGGGGGCTCGTCCGGGATTTGGGGGACCCCAGACTCCCACACTCCATCGGCCAGATGGAGGTAAGTTTGCTTACTTGTGTATCATTGTAACTGTGGTTTGTACTGTTTGTCCTTGTCTGCCAGGACGACGTGGAATCCGTCCTGGGGCGCCTGTACAGGCTCAGTACTGACTGGACCGAAGGGGGAGACAGACGTGTCCTGAGGCCCCTGGTCCAACCCTGGAGGACGCTCCAGTGGTGGTCTGGGAAGGAGGGAAAGAGGGCGTTTCCCTTCTTCCAGGGGAGAGCCTGGCCAAACGGCCGCTCCCTTCTGAAATTTTGGTTTTGGTTTTGTCTCGGTCTGTTGCTGCGCGGCTTGTGATTTCAGACGTGTCCTGAGACCCCTGGTTCAACCCTGGAGAACTCTCCAGTGGTGGTCTGGGAAGGAGGGAAAGAGGGAATTTCCTTTCTTTCAGGGGAGAGCCTGGCCAGACTGCCGCTCCCTTCTGATAGTTTCGGTTTTGTCTCGGTCTGTTGCCGCGCGGCTTGTGATTTGTGTTCTGTGTGTCGCTGTTTTTGTTGTCCTTTATCTCTTACTGTCTCCCCCATCTGTTTTTATTGTTGTGTTTGATTGCTAGATGTATACTTGTATGAAAAATGTGTATTGTATTCTTATAATGTGTTAATTATGTCTACCTCTCAATGCAACTCTAGGGCCAAATGTAAGGACAAATTTTTGGGCTGGAGAGGCTTGTACCTAGATTTGGCTCTGGTAACCAAGAAACTTTGCTGCCGAATGACCTTCTCCTGCTCCTTGGGAGCCTGGCCAGTTCCCGGGGAGGAGGATAAAGGAATGTTTTCTGATAAACAGGTGGGCATGCTTCATGTCTCGGCTCTCTGGCCAAGACCCGAGATGGGACGCACTGCTTGCCTAAAATCTTGGCAATGAGCCACCCTTGTCCTTGGAGGCTTTAGGGGGGAGCCGGAGCAAGCCTCTGTTGCTGCTGTTTCATCCTGGGGGAACACGCAGTCAAGCTGAATGTTAAATGTGCCCGTAATGATTACATGATCAATTGGCTACTGTGATTGAGGTGTTCTGTGACAGTCCCTTTAATAAAAAATTAACAAAATGAATTAATAACAGGACATTCAGGACCTGACGCTCTGCTTGGTATGTCATTACAAAAATCATCAAGGAGGGCTATGCCTGATAAATGAGGGTGCTATAAATGTGGGCAACAGGGACATGTACAAAAATTGTACAGAAGTCAAAAATCAAAATAAGGCTCTTCCTGGGATTTGCTTCCAGTGCTAAAGGGAAAGGCATTGGGCCAATAAGTGTCACTCCAAAACTGATAAAAAAGGTAATTCATTAAAAAACAGAGTTCAGGAAACTGGAAGCGGGGCCAGCCTCAGGCCCTCCCTACAGGGATCAGTGGACCATCTTGCTATAGTATCATTAAAGCAATGGAGCCATGTTTATTGCAACATTCTGTTAATCTGTGCTCCTTTACCATCTTTCCTGTAAATAATTTTAGTGTGCACTACAAGGCTTGCAGCGTATTTCTTGCAGATTAAAGGTAACTAAGTCTGTGCACAGCAGACAGCTAAAAAGTAATTTACTGTCACAAATTGGCGTAGTTGGCAGGATCTGCAAGTATGCAAAGCAATGCCTTTCTTTAAAAGAAAAACTGAAGTTGCATGTATAACCTGTGATGTTCCTGGCTGAAAAGACCTTCAGTTCGCCTCTTTGGTGAAGGAATGGGCTCTCTGCTCAGAATCGAGTGAGAATTGGGATGGCAAGTTACAGAGTGCACAGCCTCAACAAGTTATTGAGGTTTTGCTATCAGTGCCGGTGGAAAAGGGGGATGAACTATAGGCTTTGGGGAGGTGAGAATGGATTTTGTTATCTGCATACTGATGCATGTGTAAGCAATTAAAAAAATAAGTACAGGATAAATGTAAATTGGGAAAAAAAATGCTGCCCTTTAGAGTCAAACTGCTAGGTAGTGGTAAAAAAATTATATCAAGCTCCTGTACTGCTGCCAGGGCCAACTAAGGTTATTCAGTGTAAACAATACAGAATTCCAGGTGGATATGAGAAAATATCTAAAACAGTAAAAAAAATTATCTTAGTGCTGGAGTGATGATTCCCATAATCACTAAAAGAAATTATCTAATTTGGCATGTTAAGAAATCAGATGAAACCTGAAAAATGACTGTGGATTACAGGGAATTAAACAAAGTTACTCTCCCATTGACTGCTACAGTCCCAGATACCATCATTTTAATGTAAAAGGTCACAAACATAAAAGCGTGTTCTTAATAAGAAAAGTTAAAAAAAAGAGATACTTTTAAAAGGATATGATTTGTAAAAATTGTTTATCTTAATGGCTGGTTTATACTGGAATGGAAAAAAGGGGGGGGAGAAGAGAAAGGTTTGAGCAAGTTACAGAAGGTGTGAAAAAGTCGCAAAATGTTATGGAAAGAAGAAATCTTTGGTTATTTTCTTTGACATAAAATCAAAATCTAATCCTCTGTTAAAGCAATGAGTTAAAGTAATCTATTATGTTCTCTTAATGTCTCTGTTAAATTCTAACTGCTTAAAAACAGCTGTAAAAAGAGCGGTGGTGAAATGGAGGGATCCTATCACCAATCAATGAAATGGACCTGATCCAGTACTGGTATGGGACAAGGGCTCCTAAGGGATGGGTTTTTCCATGTAACCAACATGCCTTTCTGCAATTGCTCCCTGGGCCGTGTGGCCCTGATGCTAACATCTGTATTTACAGCAGCGGATAGAGCACGTCAGTGGCATGCTTTACCTGAAGACTACAATAACAACGTCATCCTAATAGGAGAGGACACTGCCCTTGCCATGGCTGCATCAGTAGTAAGTGTTCCTGGACTGGCTTTTGAAAATAATCGTGGACTATGAAGGCTTACATGTTTGGTGACCAAAGCAATCAATTTACTGCTACTGTGCTATCCAATATAGCCAAAGAATTGGATCAAGTTCACTCAGGAGTGCTTTTAAGCCATGCAGCTAACAATTACTTGCTGTTAAAAAGATCATTTAAGTTGTAAACCTGTACCTGGGGGATATTACTTTAACATTACTAACAATGTGCCATATATAGAGTCTGTTATTGATAAACTTAAGAGTAAAATGCAACATATGTTTATTACTAACCCACTATTCATTTGAAGGGTTTCAATGGATTCATTGGTTATTAATGTTGGCTGGACTGCTACTGCTTTTCCCACTTTGTATGGGATGTCTTCCGTGTGTTCTGCATTTTATGCTGACTTCCCTATAGTATGAATGGACTGAGATTCATCATTTAAAACTTCGTACCAAGCCTCCTTTGTAATCAAAATAATTAATATTTGGCTGTATGTTTCATCTCTCACCTAATGTTGGGCTGGAATGGTACTCAAAGACGGGTAAGACGCTCAGCATCCTGTACCAACCTAAGACAGGGCTCTAGGCCAAGCTGCCAGAGTTACCGATGACGGGTAAGGACAGAGATGACTGAGGGCAACCTAAGACAGAGGCCATTCTCAATTTAATAAAAAATATATATATATAAAAACCCATGGCTGGCCATGGGCCCACATGCTAAGGCCTGGCTTGCTGATCATTGGCATTAGTCCTCACGCAACAGTATCAAGCCCTGG